TGTCTAAATAGATACATGTATCATATTGAACTAAAGATATATACAGACGTCCCTCTATATCTATGGGGGGGTGTTGGTTCCAGAGCTCTTTTGGGCTCCCAAATCCATGGATGCTCAGGTTCCTTATAAAATGGTGTAGTATTTGTATATAACCTACACACATCCTTCTGTGTACTTTATTTACATCATCTCTAGATTACTTGTGATTCCTAACATAATGTACTAAGTCTTACATAAACAGTTATGCTGTTTGTTTTTATCCCATCAGAATATCGGTGGTGGGTGCAGAAGCTGCATCTGTAATTCCTTTGTAGAAGATTCTTAAGTAAGATGAAGACAATTTAGCCTTATGACATTTAACACAAATATATCTCATTTTCATCTTCATTTATATATCAACTTTTTCTTTTTTAAAGGCAAGAGAAATTTATTTATTTATTTTTGAGAAAGAGTCTCACTTTCTTGCCTCAGCCTCTGGAATAACTGGGACTATAGGCCTCTGCCACAATGCCTGGCTAACTTTTCTATTTTTAGTAGAGATGGGGTCAGGCTGGTCTTAAACGTCTGAGCTCAGGCGATCTACCCCCTCCTCAGCCTCCCAGAGTGCTGGGATTACAGGTGTGAGCCACTGTGCCCAGCCCAAATTTAAACATTAATTCAGGATTGGGGTTATCTGGGCAGGCACAGAAGAATAGAGGAGGAGGCCTAGGTGTGAGTTATTCTTCACCTAACCTCGGTTTTAGGGATGGAAAGGTAATTTGCTATGGCTCATTGTTTTCAGTGTGTGACTATGAAATAAAAATAAGATTTTAAAGGTCCTATATCTAGGCTCACTCCTTTCACATCTCCCCTCTCCTCCCTAGAGAAGACCGAGACCTTCATGGAGGTATGGGGGAACGCACTACTGCGCCCCACTGTGGCCGCCTTTGTGCGCGCCCAGGCTGACCTCCTGGCACACCTGGTCCCCGAGCCCGACCTCATGGCGCAGCAGCTGCCTTGGCTCAACCTCAGCACCCTCAAGGTGCTGCCACCCGGCTTCTGTCCCTCACCGCCTGGGATCCGGGAAGAATGGAAGTGGGCAATCCAAAGCATTTACGTTGATGAAGCGGGCTAGGGGCTGGAGGTTGGAATCCCAGCTCCCTGACTCCCATTGTGGCATTTGGCTTAAGGGTAGGGGTGGCTTCCGTTCTCTGAGCCTCAATTTCTTCATCTGAGAAACGGAGACTCGTTTCCTCCTCCTGGGATGGAAGGGAGGGTCAAGCAGGAAACGCAGCTCTCCCTGAATCTCTCTCTCACCTCGCGCAGTTCCGAGAGCGAGATGCCCTGGAGGCCGTGTTCCGTTTCTGGGCTGGCGGGGAGAGGGGGCGAGAGGCCTTCCCTGTGAGCCGCCTCTGGGACTCGCGTCTTCGCCACTACTTGGGTTCCCGCTACGACGCCCGGCGCGGTGTCAGCGACTGGGACTTGCGCATGAAGCTGCACGACCGCGGGGTGAGGGGCTCGGGGGAGCGGGCTGGGGATCCCGAGTTCTGGGTGTGAGGAAGGAGGGGCTGGGGGCCCACATGTCAGGTGCTTTGAGGCCTCCTTTCTTCCTTCCCCACGCTCTAGGCCCAAGTCATTCACATCCATGAGTTTCGACGCTGGCGGGACACAGGCGTCGCCTTTGAACTCAGAGATTCCAGCGCCTACCACGTGCCCAACCGGACCCTGGCATCTGGTCGCCTCCTTAGCCACGTGCGTGTCCACTCCCTGCCCTGGCCCCTTCCTTCTCCTACAGGATCCCAACATCAGCCTCACCTGCTTCCTCTCTGCCTGTTTTCCCAGCGGGGTGAGCGTGTGGCAGCGCGAGGGTACTGGGGGGACATCGCCACGGGGCCTTTCGTGGCCTTCGGCATCGAAACGCACGACAAAAGCCTCTTGCGTACCAGCAATGGACAGCCGGTCAAGGTGTGGCAGGCCTTGAAGGCGGAGGGCGGGGCCTTGCGCACCTACCCTCAGCCCCAGTCCCACCAAAAGGCCCTGCCCCTCACCTTCGGATAGTACCTCCAACCAACCGTCCTGCGAAGTCCGGGCCACCAAATCCCGCAGGGTGGGTCCCGCCTCCTCTCTAGACATCCTAACCTCAGCCCCTAGAATCCTAGAGCTCCGGGGGTTCTGGTCCCAGATGCCAGCTCTCACCTGACTGCTCTCAGCCCCGCCTCATCACTCTGGCCCCGCCCCCGAAGTCTTAGCCCCAATGTCGGCCACGCCCCTTCTCTGCCCGGTAGACTGCGGGCGAGATCACACAGTACAACGTGACAGAGCTGTTCCGCGAGTTGGCCGCCCGATGGCACCCGAGAGCCACCCAGGGGGACCCAGAGCAAGAGCAACAGCGCATGTCTGGAAGCGCAGAGCAGACTTCAGGTAAGCAAGCCTGCGACTTCGGGCTCCAGGTATCCACACCAGAGCATGGACTAATGTATGTGGGATGCATGGGCAAGTGACACCTCCTTGATATCCCATCTCTTTTTCTCCTCTTTGTTTCTCTCATTTTCTGAAATCCTGGCACCATTCTAAGGGTTCTGTGTTACAATCGTGGATTCTAAAAACATTCTAAGGGGCTGCTGGGTCCCAGCTCCCCTCTGGACACCCTCCCCCACCACAGATTCTAGTTGTGCCTCCTCATCGTCCTCCAACCTGGCCCTCCCTGGGTGTCTGTCCGACATGGTATGTCCCCAGTGGCCCTGGGCCACCCATTTTCCTTCCCTCTCCAGACACTCAGTTGTCTGGTCTGTAAAATGTTTCTCTGGCTGTTGGGCTGATCGTCTCAGAATTTTCCAGGAATCCACCTCAGAGAAAAGATGAAAAAGGGCTTTGTGAGGAAAAGGAGTGTACTCTCCAAGCTTTGCATGTCTGCCCAGCTTTGTGTGTCCTAGTGTGTTATCCCTCTGGGTTTCTGTGCCATATGGCTCCACCTGCTTCCTCTCTGCCCTTCCCCTGCAGCCCCTGGCCGGGAATCCTTCACACTCCACTTCCTGCCCCTAGATTCTGCCCAGACTCTGCATCACAGGAACTGCTACAAGGGCCGGTTCCAGCTTCTCTATGTGGCCTGTGGGTAAGAGGAGACACAGCTGTGCACACAAAGACCCAGGACCAGCTCCAGCCCTTCCTCCCTCCCACCCAGCAGTCCAGACCTCCTGCCCTTCCCCAGGACCATGAGGTCCAGTTTCACATCAGCCTTCTCCTCCTCACTCAGTGTCTGGGTACCCAGCGAACATCCTCCCTGAGGACCTGGGAGCCTGGATCTCAGGCTCTCCTTTCCTCTGTGCAGGATGGTCCATCTTCTCAGCCCTGAGCTTGGGGCCTGTGTGGCCCCTGGAGGGAACCTGACTGTGGAATTAGCTCCGTAAGTCATCTGGCCACAGGGCAGGGTATGTCCTAGCTAGGGGCTAAAATCTGGGTCCTTAACATGTTGCTTGCTGTGTTCAGGTACCTGGTGGACCTGCGTCCGGACCAGCTGCAGCAGTTTTCCACCCGTGTTGGGGAGCTAGCTCAGGCAGCTGGATTTGCCCCTCAGGCAGGAACCAAGTCTTCCGAGACCTTCGCCCGCTTCTGCAAGTCTGGCAGCGCTGGCGGAGCCTTAGAATCTGAAACTCCACTCCCTGAAGTCCTGGCCTCACCTCTGGAAGCAATGAGCCCACCCCTCGGGGACCTGACCCCACCTCTAGAAGGCTGGGCCCCATCCTCTGTGCCCCTCCAGTCCTCAGAATCTCAGGGTTCACTCAGGGAGGTTCTGGCTCCACCCCGGGAAGTGTTGGTCATGCCCAATAGTGAGTCAGACTCTAAAACCTGGGAGTCTAACCTGACCCCCAGAGAGTAAGTCCTTCATTTCTAATGCCAAAGTGAGGTTAGAGAATTAGACTCCACTTACGCAATTCAGAATCCTCTGCTAGAATTCTCCATTTTATTTTCAACACCCTCAGCCACAGAGGTGTGGCTAGAATTTCAAATTCCATTTTAGGGATTCTAAATTCTATTCCTGGAATTCTAGATTGCCTTCCCAGAAATTCCAAATAGTACTCACCAGACTCTGAACCCCTTGTAGAGATTTGACCCTGTATCCAGGGACCCCATTGCTAACTGGGGGATGGGAGGGTCCTGACAGCTTGATCAGCACTCAAGTGGTTCAAGTAAAGAAAGTGGGGTCTTATTTTCTGTGTCTAAGTGTCTTTCCTGTCCTAAGTCTGCCTCCATGGCTAGGAGAGTGGAGGGCCCAGGAATGTTCAAAAGAGGAGGCTGGAAGACAGGGTGAGGTGGCTCACACCTGTAATCTTAGCACTCTGGGAAGCCAAGGTGGGTGGATTGCCTGAGCTCATCAAGTTCAAGACCAGCCCAAGCTGGAGTGAGACCTTGCCTCTAAAAATAGCCAGGTGTTGTGACAGGTGCCTGTAGTTCCAGATACTTGGGAGGCTGAGGCAAGAGAATCGCTTAAGCCCAAGTTTGGGCAGTCCCTGTGGCTCAAGGAGTAGGGTCCGGACCCATATGCCAGAGGTGGTAGGTTCAAACCCAGCTTTGGCCAAAAAAAAAAAAAGCCCAAGAGATTGAGGTTGCTGTTAGCTATGATGCCATGGCACTCTACTGAGGGGGACAAAGACTGTCTAAAAAAATAAATAAATAAAAGAGGAGGCTGAAAACAGATTCTTGGATTTTCAAGTGGATTAAGGAAGAATTTCTCATGCTGCAGGCCAAACACCTACCCCCTCCATACCCACGTGGATCCTGAAATTAATCAAAATTTGCTGAGTGACCAACAGGTTCAGGACACTGAAACTAACCCTAAGATAGAAAGATGGACAAAGTTTCAAATCTAGTGGCCATTGCCATTAGAACTAGGGGTCTGGACTCCTGGGGGCCCAGACGTTTTCTGGACCTGAGGGAGGAGGGGTCTGGAATCCCAAGCCACCAAAGTGAATGGGGTGATCCAGCTAGAGCAGGCTGGCTCCAACCGTCACGCGCCCCTTTATCTTGCATCCTGGGCCAGAAAGGAGGGGGCAGCGGTATATTTAGTCTCTGTCCTTGCCCTTTATCTCAGAGTCCTCGGAGGTGAGGTTTGAGCAGCTGGGAAGAGGCTGAATGCCCCGGGACCTTCAAGGTCACTTCGGACGCCCCTCTCACCGACCCTCCAAAAGCTCCTGTCCCCTTCTCTGCCTTTGGCGATCCCTGACCTGAGTCCCAGGATGGCGGACGAGTGAGTGAAGCTTAGCACTCCTGAGGCTCAAGGCAGTGGGCGCTGGGACGGTCTCCCGTTCTCCTGACGGGGAGAAGAGTTCCGAGATGGACACTGGGCATGAGAAGGGAGGTGAGAGTAGGATTGCTGGGTATGCAAATGAAGTGTGGCCTGGAGTCAGCCTTCTAGGATCGGAAGAGCTGAAAGCTGAGGACAGTCCAGACCTCTTGATCAGAGGGGCCTCCGGGGTGCCTTAGGAGGCGGGGGCAGGCCTCAGCCTACCCTTAATCCCCTCTCCCCGGTTTCTCTCCTTCCAGGAACGGCGACGCGGTGAGAGCAGCGGGCTAAGGCTGGGCAGAGGCACCCATGGCTAGGGTGGGGAGCTACAGGGAGGGGTTTGGGGCGACGGCTGCGGCCAAAGGCACAGGACTGGGAAGCGTGAGGTGGGGGGTCAGCGGTGACGCAGCCCTGCTCCTCCAACCAGGCGGGCGAGCTGCATCAGGCGCCTGCACCTGCACCTGCGCCGGTCAGACGCCGCTCCTCGGCCAACTACCGAGCTTACGCCACAGAGCCACATGCCAAGGTGGGACAGGGGACATCGGGGACTGGCCGGGGCTCAGATTTATGTGGTGACCAGACTCTAGGAGGAGAGGGGAGGAGCAAACGCCTCAGGTGGGGGCGGGACTTTGGTCATGGGAGGAGCCTATGCAGATATTAGAATTCAGGGGCGGAGTTTCATAGAGAGTCGGACTTGAATTGGTGAAAGCTGCGTGGTGGCGGAGCCTCATTGCCCAAGGGTTTGCTTAGAGATAAATAGGCGGTGCCTAGCAAAAGTCAGAGCTCCAGATTGGTGGATGGGGCTGAGGGCGTGGCTTCCTGGAAACTCCGGGCTTAGATTGGAGGCGGGTCCAAATCTGGACTTGCTGGGGGTGGGAGGCACAGAAGCCCCTCCCACCGTCTACCTTCGAACTCCCTCCTTGATACTTTATTGCTCCATCTCACTCCTGCAGAAAAAGTCTAAGATCTCTGCCTCCAGAAAACTACAGCTGAAGGTGAGGAGGAAGGAGGAGTGGGTGCTCAGGCGGGCGGGGCTTGATAGTTGTTGGGTGGGGCTTCCAGTAGCTGGACGGGTGAGAGTGGGTAGGCTTGCTGTTAGATTTGGGGCTTTTCTTGCAGAGCCTGCAGAGGGAGGGGCGGGGCTTTGGAACCTCGGGGACCAAATTCCACCGTGCGAGTCTCTGAAAGACAGGGGTGGAGACTTGTGGTTAGACCACCCTGCCGGGCAGAGGCGGCTTCGCCAGGCGTGGATTATATCCTGTTGCCCCAGTGGGCTGCGGTCTCCTCACACTCCTCCGCAGACCCTGATGCTGCAGATTGCAAAGCAGGAGCTGGAGCGAGAGGCGGAGGAGCGGCGAGGAGAGAAGGGGCGGGCCCTGAGCACCCGCTGCCAGCCGCTGGAGCTGGCTGGACTGGGCTTCGCGGAGCTGCAGGTACTGGCTCCCAAGGCAGGGGCTCCTGCCCAGCCTAGGATCCTAGGTTTCTAGTCTCCGGTCTCTCATTCCTTGAAATTCAGAAGTACAGTCACTACCTCCCCTCCACTCCCATTCTTCTCAGGACCCCAAGGTCCACTATCACAATCTTCACCCGCAGAAATTGAGATATTCTGCCTGCAGTCATCTACAGTCTCAAAATCCAGAAGTCAGTCTCTCCAGCCCCAACTTTGTCAGACTCTTGGGAATCCTGACCCCTAAACACCCTTTGTATGTGTTTCCCTGGAGTCCTGACTCCCCCAATTTACTTCTCATTCAGGATTATATTCTAGGGCCCCCAGCCCTTTCTCCCTCAGGATATCTAGAAGTTCAGTTCTCCAGCCTCCTCCTCCCTCAGACCCAGGAGTCTAGGCTTCAGACCCTCCTTCCCCACCTAGGGGTCCAGGCTTCTGTGTCCCCTTCTACCTCAGACAGAGGAGTCCAGGTCTCCAGCTTTTCTCCCACCACACATACTATGTTCCCCCACTAGGACTTGTGCCGACAGCTCCACGCCCGTGTGGACAAGGTGGATGAAGAGAGATACGACATAGAGGCAAAGGTTACCAAGAACATCACGGAGGTGGGAAGCACTGGGAAATCTGGATACCTTCGGGGTTGGGTGAAATGCCTGGGACTCTGGGCTCAGCCTGACTCCTTGCAGCTTTTGGTTACAGATCTCAGGAGACCCAGGACGACTGTGAGCCTGGTGGGGTTGGGGCAGAAGGATGAATACAGTATGGCCAGAGGCTAGTCCAGGCAGGGAGAACAGCACATGCAAACCAGAAGTGGGGAAACAGAAAATGTGTTTGTGGAAATTTTTGGGTTGTCAAGCGTTGGTGGCTGGGTGCCTGTAGCTCAATTAGAGCACTGTTAGAGCACTCTGGTTAGAGCACTGTCCCTGTCCACGAGGGTCGGTGAGCGTTGGTAAATGAGCCCAGGCCTGTGTCAGGAAATTGTGATTTGCACATAGCTGGATAGGGAGGTGTCAATGGTTTTAAAATAAATGTGAGGCTAGGGCACTTCAGTGAGGATTGTGAGTTCTAGGATTAGTAGGGTGACCAGACATCCCACTTTTGGTGGGACAGTCCCAATTTTTAACAATTTGTCCCGCATCCTGTGGCGATTTAAAAAAGTCCTGATTTTTGGAAAGAATGCACGAACGGGTGGGAGAACAATAAGGGAATATACAGTTTTTGGCTGCCATGTGGGTATTTCGCCAGGATATGAGTTTTATATTATTTTTGTTAATTTTATAATGTTAAACTGTAATAATAACAAATAATTGTTGAGAAGTGATTATTGAGAACTGCTTATCAAAGTTTGCATTGTTGCCCCCACCCCGCCCCCCGTCAATGGTGTCCCGCTTTACCAATGTTAAAATCTGGTCACCTTAAGGATTAGGAGCCTTGGACTGGGATCCTGAGCTTCGAAGAGACTGGATAACACTTAGGTGCTGGAAGGCAGGCAAGGGATAGGATAGATGGGAGTGCAGGGTGGAACAGAGTCGCCCCCCTCCCATATGGCCACCCTCAGATTGCAGATCTGACTCAGAAGATCTTTGATCTTCGGGGCAAGTTCAAGCGGCCCACCCTGCGGAGGGTGCGAATCTCTGCAGATGCCATGATGCAGGCACTACTGGGGGCCCGGGCTAAGGAGTCCTTAGATCTGCGGGCCCACCTCAAACAGGTGAAAAAGGAGGACACTGAGAAGGTGAGTGTGGGTTAGAACCAGGAGGGGAAGTGCTTAGGGGAGGGGCTGCAGGTGGCAACAATCCTGTGGCCTGAGCACGGATAATTCTTGGAGTTGGGAGGAGGGGAGCTGGCAAGGGGTCTTTTATGGAAATTATAGGAAGGAGATGGGACATGCAAAAGGAAGGCAGGAAGTAAGAGGGGAGGAGAGGAAGTGCATGGGGAGAGAGGAAGTAGCAAGGAGTAAGGAAGTATCTGAAGGAGGGAAGATGGGGAAGACAGGCATATACAGCTGTCCCCCCTTATCCATGGGGAATATGTTCCAAGACCTGCAGTAGATGCCAGAAGTCATGTGTTGTATCAACCCCTATGTATGCTATGTTGTTTCCTATACACGCACACCTGGCGGAAAGTTCAATTTATAAGTTAGGCACAGTAAGAGATGAGCAATAATGACAAATAAAACAATTATAACAATATTCTGCAATGAACCTGTGAATGTGGTTTCTCTCTGTTTCAAAAATATCCTATTGAGGCTAGATGCTCATGCCTGTAATCCTAGCACTCTGGGAGGCCAAGGCAGGTGGATTGCCTGAGCTCATGAGTTCAAGACCAGCTTGAGCCAGAGTGAGATTGCGTCTGTAAAAATAGCCAGGCATTGTGGCTGGTACCTATAGTTCCAGCTACTCTGGAGGCCCAGACAAGAGAATCTCTTGAGCCCAAGAGTTTAAGGTTGCTGTGAGCTGTGACACCACAGTGCTTTACCAAGGGTGACAAAGTGAAATTCTGTCCCCAAATAAATAAATAAAATAAATCCTGGGCTCAGTGCCTGTAGCACAATAGTTATGGTGCCGGCCACATGCACTGAGGCTGGTGGATTCGAACCCAGCCCAGGGCAGCTAAACAACAATGACAACTACAACAAAAAAAAAGTAGCCAAAAGTTGTTGGGTGGGCTCAGTGAGTAGGACACTGGCCCCACATACTGAGGGTGGCAGGTTCAAACACAGCCCCGGCCAAACTGCAAACAAAAAATACCTGGGCACTGTGGCGGGCACCTATAGTCTCAACTACTCAGGAGGCTGAGGCAAGAGAATTGCCTAAGTCCAAGATCTGGAGGTTGCTGTGAGCTGTGACGCCACGGTAGTCTACTGAGGGCGACAAAGTGAGACTATCTCTAAAAATAAAAAAAGGAAAAATAGCTAGGCATTGTGGCGAGGGCCTATATTCCCAGCTACTTGGGAGGCTGAGGCAAGAGAATCACTTAAATCCAAGAGTTTGAGGTTGTTGTGAGCTGTGACACTATGGCACTCTACTGAGGGTGACCTAGTAAGACTCCGTCTCAAAAAAAAATCCTATTGTAGTGTACTCATCCTTCTTTTCCTTGTGATGATGGATGCTGCCTACATGATGAGATAAAGTGAAGTGAATAACATAGGCATCAGGATGTAGCATTAGACTATTTATTGGCTTTTGGATGACATGTCCAACTTTAAATTATTTATTTTTGGAATTTTGCATTTAATTTTTTTTTTTTTGAGACAGAGTTTCACTTTATCACTTTCAATAGACTACTGTGGCATCACAGCTCACAGCATCTTCCAACTCCTAGGCTCAAGCAAGTCTCCTGCCTCAGCTTCCCAAGTAGCTGGGACCACAGACGCCCACCACAATGCCTGGCTAGTTTTTGGTGGCAGCTATCATTGTTGTTTGGCAGGCTCGGGCTAGATTCAAACTCAACACCTTAGGTGTATGTGGCTGGCGCCTTAGCCACTTGAGCCACAGACACTGAGCCCATTTAATAGTTTTGAACCATGGTTGATCTCAGGGCATTGAAATTGCAGATAGGGAAACTGTATATAAATGGGGGTTGGGGGGCTACTGTAGTAGGAAAAGAAGGAAGGAGATGAGAAAGAAGTTCATGAAGGAGGCTGAAAGTGGAAGGGGGAAGACAGGAAGTGTGTGAAGGAGAGTATTAAGTGTGAGGGAGACAGGAAGTGCATGGGAAAATTGGCAGGGATTGTCTAAGGCAGTGATTCTCAACCTGTGGGTCAAGACCCCCTTGTAACAATGAAAATACATCCTGCATATCGGATATTTACATTATAATTCATAACAGTAGCAAAATTACAGGTATGAAGCAGCAACAAAAATAATTTTATGGTTGGGAGGGTCACCACAACATGAGGAACTGTATTAAAGGGTCATGGCATTAGGAGGCATTGGGAAGATTAAGAACCACTGGTGTAAGGGGACAAGGAGTGCACTGACACTTGGACAGGCACCCAGAGGAGAATTGCCCAGCAGGCTAGAGGGAAGGTGAAAGATGTCTGTGGGACCCTAACCTCTCCTCTGCCTCCAGGAGAACCGAGAAGTGGGAGACTGGCGCAAGAACATTGATGCACTGAGCGGAATGGAGGGCCGCAAGAAAAAGTTTGAAGGCTGAGCCTGCCTGTCTGTTACCCTGGCCCTGTGTATGGCCCTGAGGAATAAAGTGTCTCTGAGCTGGAAGTGGCTGCATGTCTATTACCCTGAGGCTTAGGCAGGATAAGAAAACTGACGGTTAGGCTCCCCTTAGCCATGCTGCAGGTCAGGAATAAGATGGATCTTCAATATGGGGCTCCTCTGCCCCATGTGGGGTGCACAGAAATGTCAAGATGAACACA